ATCCTTATCTATCTGTTTTGCTCGACGCCCGCCTTCTCGCTTCACGTCTGACCCACCTCTTTTCACCCTGCCACACTTAAGGGTAAATGTCCCACAACCGAATCCTCTTCCCGCCCTTTGGTCTTGGTACAACCCCCGCTTCCGTTTTTCTCCCGTTTCAACTCCCGCCCTTTTCCGTTTTACACGCTCTTCTTGCCCCCTTCGACATTTTTTTTCTGTTTCTTAATAATCTTAAAAAAAAAAAAAAAAAAAAAGGCAGAGTGACAGTGAGAGAGGAGAGACAGACAGATGAGATCCTCCATCTGCTGTTCACTCCTCAGATGACCACAATGGCCAGGGTTGGGCCAGGCTGAAGCCAGGAGCCAAGAGTGTCTTCTGGGTCTCCTACATGGGTGCAGGGCCATCTTCCATCGCTTTCCCAGTGCATTAGCAGGGAGCTGGATTCGAAGGGGAACATACGGGATGCCAGCACTGCAGGCGAGGCTTAAGCTGCGACGCCACAGCGCTGGCCCTTTAGGACTAATTTAACAAAACCTCACTTGATGCATTTCAAATATGATTTGATTCAAAGTAAATTCAGTCATAATTTTCAAGGACACATTTACCAAAAAAAAAAAGGGTATGGTCTGCCTAAAAGGGTGTGGACTGCCTAAAAATAGACCTGATTAAACATAATTTTGATCAAAGCCAAGTTCATTGTGACTTACTTTTCTGATGTGATGACAGGCATGTTAGTCTTTATATCTGTAACAACAAAGCAGTTCTGTTAGTTTCAGACAAAATTTCCTTTAAGAAGGAAAAACACTAAGAATCTGTGAGCGGCAGAGCACTTCCAGATCCTCATGTGGCACAGGGATGCCTGCACCTCAGAACCAGGTGCCTGGTTTGCACCCCAGCCACTCCCCCTTCTTAGATTTATTTATCTGAAAGTCCGAGTGAGAGAGAAGGACGGAGCGCGAGAAGGAGATTTTCCACCTGCTGGTTCACTCCCCAGATGGCTGCAATCTCCAGGGCTGGGGCAGGCTGAGGCCCGGAGCCAGGAGCGTCCTCCAGTTTTTCCATGTGGGTGGCAGAGGCCCAAACAACTGGGCCACTTTCTGCTGCTTTTCCTGGGCCATCCGCAGGGAGATGGATTGGAAGTGGAGCAGCCAGGACATGAACTGGCGCCCACATGAGATGCCGGCATCCCAGGTGGTGGCTTTACCTGCTACTCCCTAACGCTGGTTCTGGCTACTCCACTTTCAAATCCAGCTTCCTACAACGTACACCCGGGGAGGCAGCAGGTGATGGCTCAGGTCCTTGGCTGCTGCGGGCATCTGGGGAATGAATGAGCAAATGGAAGGATCTCTTTTAAATTAAGTGATAATACCTAAGGATTAAAACAAGAAACTCTAGGAAAGTAAACACACCCCAACAAGGTCAGCAGGTCTACCCAGCAGCCCACGGACTGGTGAGAAGTCTGACGGCTGCTGAAAGCCAGTCTGGGCTTTACGTCTGCCTCTGCCTTTTGATAAATAAACAAATCCTAAAAAAATTAATTCAGAATGAGTCAAAGAACGAAACTCAAGAGCTGAACTATAAAGCTCTTAGGAGGAAATCTGTGTGAGCGGACTTGGCAATGATTTCTTAAATACGAATCTATGGCATGGGCAACAAAATAAGCAAGTAGATGGGCTGGCGCTGCGGCATGGTGGGTAAAGCCGCTGCCTGCAGTGCCAGCATCCCATGAGTGCTGGTTCAAGCCCTGGCTGCTCCACTCCTGATCCAGCTCTCTGGTGTGCTGGGAAAGCAGTGGAAGATGGCCCAAGTCCTTGAGCCCCTGCACCCACACGGGAGACCTGCAAGAAGCTCCTGGCTCCGGGCTTCGGATCAGCACAGCTCTGGCTGTTGTTGCCATTTGGGGAGTGAACCAGCGGATGATGATGACCTCTCTCTCTGCCTCTAAGCCTGCCTTTCAAATAAATGAATCTTCAAAAATAAAAATAAACAAACAAGCAGATAAATCAGACTTTATTTAAATTTAAAACTTTTACCAATTCACTCTAGGAGGATTACTATTATTCACAAAAAAAAAAAAAAAAAAAAAAAAAAAAGCAGCATCGAGTGCTGGTGGGGAAGCTGGAGCCCTTGGGCACTGTGGGTACCGAGTGTGGAGCGCGGCGTGTGGTTTCTCACAAAGCCAAACACACGACCTGCTAACTCCAGTCCTGGGTCCAGTGCAACAGAGAACTGACACCATGTGCCGATGGTCATGGCTGCGTTACTCACAACAGCCACGATGCAGAAACAAGCCCAAGTCTATCAGTCGGTAGATGAATAAACAAAATGTGGTCAGTTCACACAAATGGGGTGCTACTCAGACATCAAAAGGAATCAAGTTCTGATACACGACAAACCTTGAAAACATGATGCGAAGTCAAAGCAGCCAGACATGAAGGGAAAAATCCTACAGTATTCTACTTACGTCTGATGTATCTCAAATGGGTGAATTTGCACACAGAAAACAGAAAAGTGACCAGGCACTGGGGGAGAGGACACAGGTAACTGCTGTACACTGCTCAGCACCCTCCACAGGGCTGGGCCATCTGCACCCCTAGCAACGCAGGCAGCGTCTGTATCCAAGGACTCACCCATGGAGCACACGGTCAGACTTTTGCCCTAGTGCTGAAATGGTATTTCAGTGCTATTTTAACGTATAGATTTTCTACAATACAACATTTAAAATAAAAAAATTATTTTTTTGAAAGGCAGAGTTAGAGGGGGAGAGGGAGTAGGAGAAGGAGAGGAGGGATCTTCCATCCTCTGCTTCTCTCCCCAAACGGCTGCAATGGCCACAGCTGGGCCAGGAGCCTGGAACTCCACCCGGATCTCCCATGTAGGTGGCAGGGGCCCAAGTACTTGGGCCACCCTGTGCTGCTTTCCCAGGCACATTAGTAGGGCTGGCTCTGAAGTGGAGCAGCCAGGACTGGAACTGGCACTCATATGGGCTGGTGCTGCAGGCAGTGGATTAACAAGCTGTACCACACCGCCAGCCCCTAAAAAATCCCAATTGCATTTAACCTGCTGGTATTGTTTCTTACATAACTACCATGTTCCCTGGAGAATACATCAAAAGATTAATAAATGAAAGAGGCTAAATGAGAACTACACAAATTAGAAGGTTTTAACAAATGTGTCAATATCATAGCTATTGTTGTAAACTGTAATTCTGGAAATAACATACAAAATTCACTGTGCATACCCCCACAGGTGAGTAGGTACTTAACTACCAGCACCTACCAAGTACATGCACAGTACCCTGCCAGGCAGAGCTTAGTGACAGAGAAGCCTGAGGAACACTTGTACTAGTTCCAGAAAGAGACTGCACATGGTAAGAACGATCCTAGTTGTTCTTCCGGGCAGTAAGTCGCAGGGGGATGTGACTTCTCCAGAATTTTACTATGTAACAGACAGATGAGAGCTGTGAGATCAAAAAGGAAAGAGGAATTCGACAGCGGAACTGAGCCACGGTGCTTACCTTTCCACTTCGCCACCAGCTTAGCATCTGAGCCTGTGAAGTGCGGACGGCTTTTTGACAGAATACCTTTTCCAAAGTAGCCCTTCCAGGAGGGAAGAGAGAAAACATCAGCTCAATTTATTTCTCATTTTTTTATAAAGATTTTATTTATTCATTTGAGAGGTAGAGTTACAGACAGCGAGAGAGAGAGACAAAGCTCTTCCCTGCGTTGGTTCACTCCCCAAATGGCTGCAACGGCCGGAGCTGCGCCGATGCGAAGCCAGGAGCCAGGAGCTTCTTCTGGGTCTCCCATGTGGGTACAGGGGCCCAAGGACTTGGGCCATCTTGTACTGCTTTCCCAGGCCATAGCAGAGAGCCGGATGGGAAGAGGAACAGCTGGGACTAGAACCAGCGCCCATATGGGATGCCGGCGCCACAGGCAGAGGATTAACCTACTGTGCCACAGCCTCTATTTCTCATTTTTTAAAAAAAGATTTTATTAACGTCAGAGGCAGAGGGACAGAGACAGAGAGGCAGAGACACAGACTGTCTGAGACTTCCATCTGGGATGGAGCGGGGCAGCCAGGACTCAAACTGGTGCTCGGGGAGGGGAAGCCGGCGCCGCGGGAGGCGGCCGCTTAGCGGTTTCTTAGCAGAGGTGGACCGCACCGATGGTGACAAGGAGGTTCTGCCACGTGCACAGCTCTGCAGCGCCCCTGTTTATCGAGTCACTGCTGAGGACTGCCGCTTTTCCTCTCTGCTCACACGGGGAGTCTTGCTCCTGAGCTTTGAGCACACCTCATCTACCTCAAACCCAAGACTGCACCCAGCTCTGAGGGCCCGCAGGCAGCGGGGCAGGCTCAGGCACGCAGGGGCCCACAACTGAAGCAGCCCTCACCTCCTCGCTGATTCCAAACAACACATGCTCTTTCCTCGTTCTTAAAACACTTACACAGCAGACCACTGAAAGATAAAACACCCCAATGGACATCAGGACACTAACGTGCCGGGCACCTTGCAGAGCCCCCGGCTCGGCGTCACGCGTGGCAAATGCATGTCCTGTCCCTGGCGAGCAGCAGGCACACGGCACCCTGGGCTTGCTCGCACTCCCACCTCACAACGGCCACTGTCACCTACTTTTCCACAAGCTGCCTGGAGGTGACGGTTACCTTGGGCTGGACCAGGAGCAACAGGCGCAGTGCTGGGATGTTACACGCTAGGCTGCACCACTCACCACTCCATCAACTTACAACACTGTACACTCACCGTGAGTCAGTCTTCACTGTCAGTCACACCCCAAACAAAAATATTTATCTCTTTGAAAAGCAGAGTTACAGAGAGAGAGGGACAGGCAGATGTTCCATCTGCTGTTTCACTTCCCAAATGGCCACAAGGGCCAGGGCTGGGCCAGACCAAAGCCAGAAACTCCATGTGGGTCTCCCTCATGGGTGTCAGTAGCCCAATCACTTGGGCTATCCTCTGCTACGTCCTTGGGTATATCAGCAGGGAGCTGGAACAGAAATGGGGCAGCCACGCCCCAAACTGGTGCGCATGTGGAATGCTGGTGCTGAGGCGGCAGCTTAACCCTCTGCACACAATGCCAGCCCCCACCTGCTATTTTTAAGATGTCTTCAGTAATGAACAGGCTGGAGGGCAGGGGGAGTGGGAGCATGGGCGGGTAAGCGACCAGTCTCCACCCAAACCTGTCCCTGCTGGCGAACAGTAAAATCTAAACCTCTCCTCGGGTAAGCAGTGGCCAACGAGCACCTGGGCTCAACACCCAGTTACAGCTCCTGACTCCAGCTTCCTGCTAACGCAGATCCTGGGAGGTGGTAGCTCACCTCACGCCATCGGGTTCCTGTCACCAGGTAGAAGACCTGGATCTGGTTCCTGGACCCCAGCTTCAGTCCTGGGTATTTGGGGAATGAACCACAATACAGGAGCTCTCTCTCTCTGCCTCTCAAATAAAGGGGTTTAAAAAGAGGCCGGCGCCGCGGCTCACTAGGCTAATCCTCCGCCTTGCGGCGCCGGCACACGGGGTTCTAGTCCCGGTCGGGGCGTCGGATTCTGTCCCGGTTGCCCCTCTTCCAGGCCAGCTCTCTGCTGTGGCCAGGGAGTGCAGTGGAGGATGGCCCAAGTGCTTGGGCCCTGCACCCCATGGGAGACCAGGAGAAGTACCTGGCTCCTGCCATCGGATCAGTGCGGTGCGCTGGCTGCAGCACGCCGGCCACGGCGGCCATTGGAGGGTGAACCAACGGCAAAGGAAGACCTTTCCCTCTGTCTCTCTCTCTCTCACTGTCCACTCTGCCTGTCAAAAAAAAAAAAAAAAAAAAAAGACAGACAGACAGACATCAACTCGGAGAGCAGCCAAGGAGGCGGAGCGCGCTCTCAAGGCGCACCGCCTGTGCACCAGGCGGACCACCACACCGCTCGGCGGTTACCTCGGAAGGTGGGAAAGCGGAGGATTTTCACTTTTCACCCTTTACACTGCTGTGTGGTTTTGTTTTTAAGATGAACTTGCAATGCTTTTCATGACCCAAAGTCAGAAAAAAGGTCAAGCCACTGACCCCACGCCAGCACTGGCACGTGGCTCCACGGCGGGTAGGGGGCTCATTCCCCTCATGGTGCCTAGCTTTGGGGCACCTGATTCAAATCGAGCAGCTCCCACCATGGAGGCATGCAGGTGCAGGGTTCAGGGTCTGTCCTGGGGGCGGGTGGGCGGAGAAGGGCCCTGGTGGGGTTTGCGGGGAGGAGCCAAGGCAGCCCGCGCTCACCTTCCCGTACAGCTGCCCGATGTCCTCCGGGCTCCTCACCACCACGCTGTTGTTGATCATCTCGGCGCGGAACATTCTGAACTCGCTCTGGGGACCACAGTCCTGAGCCAAAGGGATGGGCCAGGGGGACTCGTAACTCTCGTGCACTCTTCTCCTCCGTTTCGGGGCGTGGAAAACTGCTTCCGCCATTTCCCGGGTAGCTGCTCTGTGAAGAGTGGGTAATGGGGAGAAGCAGCAAGGCACTCAGTAGCTGGCAGTTCAGATTGAAAACGTGAGCACACTTCCACCCCGGCCCAGACCGTTCATGCAGTGGTCAACTACGAAACACAGCAGTCACACTCGCCTAGCCCACCTCCAGAAGACCCCAAAGCCCAGGGCCTTCTCTGACGTCAGGGGACCCAGTGACACACGGAAGGCAGAGGCTGGGTCTCCTGAGCTGCTGCAGGGGCTCTGCCTATGGGGACCACTTCACCCTGGAGACAGGAAGACAACACCAGGAGACTCCGCCCTCGACGAGTCAAGTCCAGTAAAGCACTCGATTTCCCCAAAAGTGGGCCTAGGTCAGTCAGCTTCTAACTAAAAATATACTTTTTTAATTTGAGCAGTAGACACACACACACACAGCAAGTGAGCAAGCACGTTCCCAATCCCTGGTTCCCACCACACACACCCACCGCGGCCAGGGCTGTGCCAGGCCGAAGCTGGGAGCCAGGAGCCCAGTCACGGGGGTCACCACTGCTGCCTGCCCGGGTCTCCATTAGCAGGAAGAAGGCATCAGCACTGAACCCAGGCACTCGGATCTGGGATGGGGGCATCCTAACTGCTAGCCTGTTCCAACCTTTAAAGTAAATAAATAAACAGCAACACACGGACAGCAGCGGCTGTCACTTAAGGGGCTCTGATGTATTCCAAGTGCCAGCGGCCACCAGCAGGGACTGCAAAGCCAAAGCACCACCTCCCCAGCTGTGTGGCGCCGCACAGCACTACTGATCGCTCTGTGTTTAGATTCCCCAGCTGCAAACCGAGGGAGGAAGCAGATCAGCCTGACGGTGAAGACTCGGACAGCACTTAGAACACTGTCTGTCACCAAGTGAGGAGAGCACACAGCAGCCACGAGGATACTCCTGGGTGAGTGCTACTAACACCAGTTTAAGAGGAAGAAACGGGGCCAGTGTTGTGGCACGGCAGTAGAACCCGTGATGCTGGCATCCCACGTGGGTGCCCGTTTCAGCCTCAGTTGCTCTACTTCTGATCCTTGCTAATGGCCTCGGAAAGCAGAGGAAGATGGCTCAAGTGTCTGGGCCCCTGTCACCCACCTGCGAGACCGGGGAGAGGCTCCTGGCTTGGCCTTGGCCCAGCTCTGGCCATTGTGGCCATCTGGAGAGTGAACCAGCAGATGGAACATCTCTCTGACTCTCCCTCTCTGTAACTCTTTCAAATAAATAAAGATATCTTAAAAAATAAAAATAAAAAAAGCAGTACAACATGTCCAGGTTGGAGGTCTGTAAAAGGCCCCTCAGGTGATGGCACCTGGGGACTCCATGTCTGCTGAATGCCAAAGCCCACGCCTTTCTCTGGGTCCTGCTGCCAGCACGGGCAGTGTCTGTCCATTAGGGTGAGGGCTTACCATCCTCCAAAGAAGGTACAGGGCTTCTAACAATTACAGGTTCACCACCCAGTGGACCAAGGGAGAAGAGGAAGCCCCGGGCAGCACCGCCCCCTTCCAGGCCTTACACCTGAGCCCAGGAGACAAAACAAGCAGACGCCACCCACCAAGGACAGAAAGAGGAAACGCGACAGCAGCACAGCTGTGGGCGGTGCAGTGCGGATGGAGCCACAGGAGATGACTTTAACTTGGCAAAACCTAATCCTATACAAAGGGACAAGAGTGAATGGTCTAAGAGGTTTGTCAAGTTACTCTGCACAACGGGCAGAGGCCCTGGTAGGAGCTGGGAGGTTTGACTGTGGCTCCCTCAGCGTCAGGTCTGGCCCTGGTTGAACTGAGAGCTTATGTGGGAGTCGGTGCTGTGGCACAGCGAGTAAAGCCGCCACCTGCAGTGTGACCATCCCATATGGGTGCCGGTTGGTGTCCTGGATACTTCACTTCTGACCCGGCTTCCTGCTACTGTGCCTGGGAAAGCAGCGGAGGAGAGCTCAAGTGCTTGGGCCCCTGCATCCACGTGGGAGATCCAGATGCAGCTCCAGGTTCCTGGCTTTGGCCTGGCTCAGCCGTGGCCATTGCGGCCATCTGGGGGAGTGAACCAGCAGATGGAAGATCTCTCTGTCCCTCCCTCTCTAATTCTTGCAAATAAATAAGTAAATATTAAAAAAGAAAAACAGATTATATGGTGTCTTCCCTGACAAAGCACAGAGACTGAGAATCTCACACTGGGTCCCAGCACCTATCAGGCCACCGATGCAATCAAGCTTGAGACAGAGGACGGCCACATGGTGGGGGAAGCTGAGCAGTTTTCAGGGTTTCATGACCATTAGAAAGAAATTAAAGACCTTGGCCAATGTCATATTTCAGGCAACTTCTCAAGGGAAAAGCTGGGACATTAAACAAGGAAAAACACACACCAAGGAAGAGCTGGAGGAACGGATAAATCAATGACAAAAGATAAATCAGTAAACGGGAATCTTAGAATTGCCCGTGTTCCAGGCAGCAACATGCTAGGATAGTTTAATTTCCAAGTGAGGTCCTTTGGGGTGGCAGTGTGGCACAGTGGGTTAAGCTGCTGCCTGTGACGCTGGCATCCCACATGGGCACAGACAATGGCCTGGGAAAGCAGCTCCTGGCTACAGCCTGGCCCAACCTTGGCTGTTGTGATCATCTGGGGAGTGAACCAGTGAATGAAGATTCTCTCTCTCTCTTGAACTCTGTCTTTCAAATAAATAAATCCTTTTTAAAAAATGAAAAAAAAAAGTCTCTCAGTGGCACTGCATACGGAGCATTTCTGTCTACACTACATTCCGGTATACACTATACGCCATGTGCAAGCACTGGGCACAGGATTTCTAACGTAACTGTGCCACCAGAGTGCACACTCCTGGGAACCTTAAAATCCCCTCCTTTGGGCACGGTGAAGACTTTCATCTTCATTGCTGACTTGTTCCTCAGCCCAAACCAAGGATGTCGTCTTGTACTCAACTAAAGGAACTAATTTATTCTATTTTTTTAAAAAAAGATTTATTTGAGAGGCAGAGTTACAGAGAGGCAGAGGCAGAGAGAGAGGTCTTCCATCTGCTGGTTCACACCCCAGATGGCCACAATGGCTGCAGCTGGGCAGATCTAAAGTCAAGAGCTAGGAGCTTCTTCCAGACCTACCACGCGGGTGCAGGGGCCCAAGCACGTGGGCCATCTTCCACTGCCATCCCAGGCTATAGCAGAGAGCTGGATTGGAAGTGGAGCAGCCAGGACTTGAACCGGTGCCCATATGGGATGCCGGCACTGCAGGCGGTGGCCTTACCCACTATGCCACATTGCCAGCCCTTAATTTATTCTAAAACGGAAATAAATCCAGCAGGCTTAGCTGGTCTGAGGAAGGAAGTTGTCTCTAGCAAGGCGGCGTTTGAGGGATTCCGGGAGCAAGCTGACTCGCGTGAGACTTCCACTCTGAGGCTCTGACTTACACACATACCATCTGGAATTAAAAAAACCTCAGTGGCCAACTTCAGAAGACGCAAGCAGGGGCGGGTGCTGTGGTGCAGCAGGTTCAGCTACCACGTGGGACGGCCACGTTCTGCAATCAGACTGCCAGTTCCATCTGGGCTGCCGCGCGCTTCTGACCCCAGCTCCTGCTAACGCACCTAGGAAGGCAGCAGATGGTGGTCTGTGGACCTGGGTTTCTGTTACATGACTCCAGCCTGGCCCAGCCCTGGCTTTTGTGGGCATTTGGGGGAGTGAGCCAGCTGATGGATAATCTTTCTCTGCCTCTGTCATTCTGTCTTTGAACTAAATGTTAAAAAAAAAAGTTTAAAAACTAAGTCCCAACTATGGGTGGCTATCTGGCTTAGTGGTTAATATGCCTGCATCCCAGAGAGTGCCTGGGCTCAGGGCCCGACGCCAGCTCCTGACTCCAGCTTCCGGCTAATGCAGACCCTGGGCAGCAACAGTGATGGCTTAAATAACTGGGCTTCCACCACCCACGTGGGAACTCAGGACTGACTCCCAGCTTACAGTCTTAGACCTGGCCCAGTCACTGCTGCTGCTGCATCTGGGGAATGCATCAATGGATGCGAGCTTTGTCGCTCAAAACAAACAAAAATTTTAAATAAAGATTCCAATCAAATGTTTTCCACAGGTGAAAATAAGGGGCCCACCCTGCGGGGCTGTGGGTCAAACTGTTGCTGCTGACACCAGCATCCCATAGCGGAGAGCCAGTTCCAGTCCTGGCTGCTCTGCTTCAGATCCAGCTCCCTGCTAACACTCCCAGGAGGAAGCAGATGATGGCTGGAGGACCTGGTTCCTGTCATCCACATGAGAGACCCGGGTGCAGTTCCAGGCTCCTGGCTTCAGCCTGGACCAGCCCTGGCTGCTGTAGGCATTTGCACAGTGAACCAGCAGATGAAAGATCTATCACTCTTTCTAATTAATTAATTAAAAAAAAAAAAAGAAAATGAATAGTACTTTAATTGGCCTGGTTTGGTTATGGTTTTTCCTTTGGGCCAAGATCTCCACACTTGAGTTCTCCATGCCTGTGGGCTCCCATCTGTGCATCCCACCAACCAAGCACTGAGGCCATCTTCTGTTTTCCTAGGCCACAGCAGAGGGTGGGAGCGGGGCAGCGGAGTCTCAAACTGGCACCCATCTGGGATGGTGGCACTGCAGGCAGCGGCTCTACCTGCAACGTCACAGCGCCGGACCCCTTTATTCCTATCTTGAAATCCATTTTTTCACAAACTTTTTGGTGGACTCTCATATTAGATATTCTATGTAACCCAAGAGGATTTAAAATACACAGAAGAGGGCTGGCATTGGGCCACAGCAGGTTAAGTTGCAGCCTGTGACGCTGACATCCAGGATCCCATAGGGTGCTGGTTCGAGTCTTGGCTGCTGCACTTCTGATCCAGCTTCCTGCTAGTGCACCTGGGTGAGCAGTGGAAGATAACCCAAGCGCGTGGGTCCCTGCACCCACGTGGGAGGCCTGCATGAAGATCCAGGCTGCAGGCTTTGGCCTGGCCCAGACTCAGCCACTGGGGCCATTTGGGGAATGAGCCAGCAGACGGAAGCTCTCTGCCTTTCCCTCTCTCTGAAACTCCACTTTTCAGATAAATAAATAAATCTTTGAACAAAAAAACAAAGTACACAGGGGCATGTGTGTAGGTTTTCTGCAAATTCTACAGCTTTTCAGAGAAGGGACTGAACATTCAGACTTCACCACCCACGGGGGGTCCTGGAACCCATCCCCATGGGTGTCAAGGGACGACTGTGTTCCAACCCACGTATGCAATAGAAGGGTCCCTGCCTCAAAATATTGCCATCACTTTACAACCCACGTCTGGAGACACTTGTGGCCTCGTGACGGCAGGAGCAAGGCGGTTCCATACACACAGGCTGCGTTAGCGTGTCACCCTGCACACCCCTCTGAGCCATTTCTTCACCTTCAAGTTCAACAGGACTAGAGAGCCGCCTGCCAGTTCCCCGTCCAGTCATCCAACGGTTACCATGTAACCCAGCCACGCCACTCCCAAGTACAGATCCGGGAAAAGGGCAGACAGGCTCCTGGAGAGATCTACACGGGAAGCGTTATTATTCATAGGAGCCCAGGAGAAACCAAGCAATGCGAACGTCCATCAAGAGATGACTGGGCAACAAAACGGGGTCCATCGGCACGACGGAATCGTATTCACCAAAGAAAGCAACGCCGTTCTGACCCCCCTTGGAAGCACTGAGCTAAGTGGGAGAAGCCCCCTGGGAGACCACGAATCCCACGCAAGTCCATAGGGGCAGACAGGCCAGGAGCTGCTGGGACAGAGAGACAGGGGGACCCGGGAGGGTGACTGCCAGCAGATACAGGCCTGTGGAGTAAAGACATGCCCGCGTTAGGTACAGTGCGGTGACTCTGGCCCGCACGTTTCAGAAGGGTGGGTTGTGGGAGCTGTGCGTCTCCGTAAAGCTGCACCTCAGGCAGCATCACGGCCGCCACCGTGAGGTTCCTCAAAGGGCGGAAAGCAAGCTCTCCAGGGAACACAGCATCCGCAGGGGAGCGGGGTCGTCCCCGGCTTCACAGAGCAGGTGTCCTCCACTGGGCCGGCGGACAAAGCGGAGGCAGGACTGCACTGGCCGCCCCCTTACCCGCAGTGTTCAGTGCCGACACAACAGGCGTGGGGGAGCGAGAAACCAGAGGCTGTACCACCACAGGTAGGCGCGGGGTGCCAGTGGGAAATACTAGACTCGCTTCACACACAGGTGCACAGAGGGCAAGTCATCTGCCCACCGCCTCACTGCCTGGAAACAGAGCTCAGTGGGCCAGCAGGGGCCTGCGAGGTGGGCGGGCTCAGCCCCACCAGGAACACTGCCCACGCCCACTAAACCCACAGGCAGGACTGGCTCAGCAGTCAGGGCTCTCGGAGCAAACACTGGCTTCGACTTGACACCACTGCAGTGTCTTTTCTTTTCTTTTTTTAAGATCTATTTATTTGAAAAGCAGAGAGAGAGAGAAGGCAGGAGATGAGAGAGATCTTCCATCCATTCCCAAATGGCTGCAACAGCCAGGTCTGGGCCAAGGCGGAAGCCAGGATCCAGGAACTCCACGCTGGTCTCCCCCATGGGTGGCAGGGCGCCAGGCGTCCAGGCCACCCTCTGCCTGACCCTGCCGCGGAGTAGCTGGGACTTGAACTGGCACTCCAGTACGTATGGGATGCCAGGGTCACGACCGGCGGCTTGGCCCTCTCAGCCATAACGCCAGCCCCCACTGCAGGTTCTCTGGCGGAGAAGTGAACAGATGAAGAAACCAGCCTGGGAGTGGTGTTCGTGTGTGCACGGTGGGCAAGGGTGAAGGCTGGCAACGCGGTACCAGCGGTTCAACAGCTGCTTGAGCCACGCCTCCCGCCGGAGCCCCGGGTTCGAGTCCTGGCTGCTCTGCTTCTGACACGGCTTCCTGCGAGTGTGCCCGGGTGGGAGTCACCGGTGATGGTTCCAGTGCTTGGGCCCCTGCCCGCCCCGTGCGCGAGACCAGGACGGATTCCCGGCTCCTGGCTTTGGCCTGGCTCAGACCTGGCCCGAACGCTGCCGCCAGCTGGGCTTGCCGCTCTGCCTGTCAAATAAATCAACCTTACAACAACAAGCCAGGCCTGCTCCTTACTCTCCCCTCCGGGGAACAACGGGGCGCCTAGCCGCGCAGCCTCCCCAGGGAAAAGCACGCTGGACGCTCCACCCGCGGACGGCGAGGAGGACGGGCGAAGCAGACACACCTGCGCGGCGCGCAGCAGCCGCAGCCCGAGCACCGCGGGCGGACACACGCACGCGCGGGCCGCGGCCGGGCGCTGGCCAGCCGCATTCCTCGGCCCCCTCCTTCCTCGGGGAGGCCCCCGCCCCGACCCTCCAGCGGCCGCGGCTCCCCTCAGGCCGACGGCCGGGCGCACGGGGCAGTGCCAGCGCCGGACGAGGCGTCGGCGTCCGCAGCAACGGGCGGAGGACTCGGCGCCCGGCAGCACGCGGAAGCCTGGCCCCTACCCGGCCCTCGCCGGTCCGGCCTCGGGCGCCTCCCCCTCGCCCCGCTGACCGAGCCTCCATCCCGCTCGCTCCCAGCCCGGCCTCCTTACCTGTCTCGGCTCCACGCGCTCGCCGTAACCTCGGCAACGCCGGTCGGGGCGCCAACACCGCTGCCGTAAAGCGGCACGGCCGCAAAGCTAGCCGACTGCGCAGCCGCAGAGCTCACGGGCGCGCCCCTCGGCTGTTGGCGGAGTGCGCCTGCGCAGGCCTGTAGGCGGGGCCCTTGTGCACCTGGCTCGCCTCCTCGCGTGCTCTCTAACCCGGGCGGCGCGAATTCTGGCCCGAGATGACACGGACAACCCCTCTGTACAGATGCTACGCTCCTTTCACTCCCCCTCACAAACCCATTTCACAGACGAGGCGCGCAGTCGCCTGTCCAGTGTCACCCAGTGACACCGTTACAGGTCATGGAGCTGAGACCTAGAGTCCTCGCCCCCCGGAGGCACGGGACCCTTGAGGCGACCAGACCTGGGGGAAAGGACCCTCTGAGGCCGGCCCTGAAGGCGGCCCCTGCTTTCTCTGTGTGCAGCGCGGCCCCGGGCGCACCTGTCCGGCCGCCGCACAGACACCTGTGCGCCCCGGCTGAACCACAGGCCGGGAATTCTGAGGTGTCGCAGCCACCTCCCTTGGTCCCAGGGGGGCTGTGAGTTGCAGGTCCGACGAGAGGCCGAGACCACAGCCGGGGTCTCCGCCTCCCGGCCTGGCACCCGGCGTTTCGGGATTTGGGATTCACTGGTTATGGGATTTCAGGTGACGTCACCTGGAGCCCTGTCCACCCGGAGGGTTGGGAGCAAAGCCACTGAACAAGAGATTCTTCCCCAAGATTCTCTCCTCGACGTACAATCAGTGTTTTAAACTTAAAAGAGATATTTGGAAGGCACCGGGACAAAGAGAAGTAGAATCTTCCACGCGCTGGTTCGCTCCCCAAATCCCACCATAGCCAGGGCCGGGCCAGGCTGAGCCAGGAGCTGGGAACACCATCTGGGCCTCCCACGTGAGGCTCGGCACTGGGCCATCGCTGCTGCCTCCCGGGGTGCGTTAGCAGGAAGCCGGATCGCAAGCCGAGGTGGGACCAGTGCCAGCCCCTCCAAGGTGGGTGCAGGGGTAACCAAGCAGCTGCCGGCCCGGCTGTGCCACCAGGCTCGCCCCTCACCGTACATTTGTAAATAACCTTTTCTCATCATTTTTCAGGTTTTCCCCGAAGCGGACAGGACCGTGTAGTGCGTGGTCTCCGCACCCCCGCATCTTGGATGGACATCTTGCGTCTTTAACTCACTCAGTAGATGCTGCTGGCCCCCTGCTGGACGGTTTTAAAACAACCCCAGAGAAGCGGCATTTAAGTCCGCAGCGCCGAGCGATAAGGAAATGCTGCGTCACGCGTGCATGGCATAGCTTCACACGCACGACTGTCAGGGTTCCAGATAGTTCCGTTCTGCAAACAGCCACTCAGTGAAGGCTGGGGAGCAGAGAGCTGGCTTCCTGTGAACCTCCCGCCACAACGTTTGCATCAGCTGACCAATGCACAACCTGGTTTTCTGTGTTTCTGTTTAAAGACGCCTTACATAATCCTCGCGCACGGTCCATCCTCTCTGACCTCGTGGCCGACCGCGCCGTACCCTCCCCGTGCATTTCCTCCAGGCAGGCACTTTTCTCCCTAAGGAGCGCCCTGCACGGGGGGGCTGCTACACACGGCTCCGTCTCCCACCGCAGCGCACGCGTGTGAGCGCCGTGGCACGGCCCCGAGTGCGAGGAGCGCACGGATTCACGCTCTGGGCGCCGACCTCGCCTTTGCCACTGCCGCTGGGAGTGTGCATTTTGGGCAGTTCCGGTGCTTTGCGGCTCTGTGCGTGCACACTCCTGTGAGGGGCTACAAAAGCCAGCGGCTGATGTGGACGTCCCAAAGGAACGTGAGAGAGAGGGTGGATTTGCAAACGCAGGATCTCAAAACACGTCGAACAGAATGGACAACCATGCCCTGTGTTCTTACTGTGAAACGCCACACACAGGTCCCACGTCACGTCTGCTATCTGCTTCTGCTTGCCAAGAAACGCTGTTCTGGGCCGGCGCCGTGGCTCACTAGGCTAATCCTCCACCTTGCGGCGCCGGCACACCGGGTTCTAGTCCCGGTCGGGGCGCCGGATTCTGTCCCGGTTGTCCCTCTTCCAGGCCAGCTCTCTGCTCTGGCCAGGGAGTGCAGTGGAGGATGGCCCAGGTGCTTGGGCCCTGCACCCCATGGGAGACCAGGAAAAGCACTTGGCTCCTGGCTCCTGCCATCGGATCAGCGTGGTGCGCCGGCTGCAGTGGCGGCCATTGGAGGGTGAACCAATGGCAAAAGGAAGACCTTTCTCTCTCTGTCTCTCTCTCTCACTGTCCACTCTGCCTGTCAAAAATTAAAAAAAAAAAAAAAGTGTTTAAAAAAAAAAAAAAAAAGAAACGCTGTTCATCTGGGACTCAGGTTCACCTGGCTGTCTGGTCTTTTCAGCCACCCTAGGAACAATCTGGGGTGGTTTGCTGTGGGCCAGCCACTGTGCACCCATGGTCTTATTTAACTTAACGTAACAGGCCTGTGAGACTGGTGTTACCACCCCACCTGCTCACAGGCTCAGAGCTACAATGTGCTGGAGGCCAGGTGAGGACCCGGGGTCTCAGGACCACCGGGCTGTATTAGTGCATCACACAGGCTACAGCAAGCAGCGCTCAACACTGAAATACAAAAAAATGACCCACAGCAGGTGTTGGGGGGAGGCCAGGAGGGGCTGAAGGCCTGGGAGGCTTCCTGGAAGAGGTGGCCTGGGAGCTGAGCCTGGAAGGAGACTTAGCACCAGGGAGGCAGGGAGGAGGCGGGCAGAGGGCAGTCAGGGCACTGGGCTGGCCTGTGTGTGAGGCTGGAATGGGGTTTGGGGTTCCGGAGCCAGGGAGGAGCCGGGCAAGAAGCCAAAGCCGCGATAAAGTCCGATAGGTAGGGCGTGGCCTGATTGTGGAGGCGCTTGAATTCCAGGCTTGGCTTCTGGACTTTACCCCGCAGACAATGGGGAGCCGCCGGCATTTCTGAGCAGGGCTGGGCAGCCCCCGCTGTCGCCCCATTGTTTTTCCCAGTCGGGCCGACCCCTGCAGTACCTCAGTGTGTCCACCAGATGGAGCCGATTCAGCAGGTTTAAATCACCCAGTCTGGTGGACACCCAGTCTCCTGGCCTTGAACACCGCGTGGGACCCCACTGGCCTCCGCGTGTTTGCTGCCAGCATTCTCCGCAGAAAATGCAAAGGCTGAGAAGCAAACCTCAAATCACGGGCCTGGTCCAGAGTCGCCGTGCGGGGCAGGAAAACCGCAGCTGACCTCACAGCTTCGGAGGAGCAGGAGGTGCAGGTGCGCACCGGGTGTCCCGCGTGGAAGCGGCGCCCAGCGGGAGTTGCCACAGTCCCATTTTACAGACCTGGAAACAGAGATTCTCTTTTAAAAATTTACTTATTTAATAAGGCAGAATTAGAGAGAGGGGAGAGAGAGACAGAGAGAGAGGTCGTTCATCCACTGGTTCACTCCCCAGAAGGCTGCAACGGCTGGAGCTGTGCTGATCCGAAGCCAGGAGCCAGGAGCCTCTTCCAGGTCTCCCATGTGGGTGCAGGAGGCCAAGCAGTTGGGCCATCTTCCACTGCTTTCCCAGGCCACAGCAGAGAGCTGGATCCGAAGTGGAGCAGCCGGTAGCAGAACCGTTGCTGCCATTTGGGGAGTGAGCATGCGGGACACCCAGGAGGAGCCGAGGACAGTCCCGGGACTGAACGGAGAGCCGTAAGGACCCTGCCGTTGGCACTGTTCCAGATGCTTTTTCAGGGCAGACTCAATTCTCTGCAACGGCTCTGGGAGCGAGGCAATCTCACACCCATTTTACAGGTCAGGAAACTGAGTCGGAGAGTCAGCCCCAGAGGGGAGACGGGGGTGCCTGCTTCTGCCCCGCGCCCTCCCACCGATCACTGCGGAAAATGCGTGTTATGAGGAAAGCCTGCATTGATTTCAGGGATGTTTGGAGCCCCCTGCTGTTCTACATGTGGGTCAGTGTCCCACAGAAATCTGAGCCTCTACACACAAAGATGTTCATCCAGGCATGGTGGTTTGTAATTTAAAAAATCAGACAAATGTCCCTCCCTGGAGGAATGACTGTGTCACAGTGGGACATCATGCAGCAGATAAGAGAAAGAGCTAACATATAGACGCCAATACGTGAGTTACATACACAGACATAAGTCAACCTCAGCAGATTTCCAAAACATACATTTGGTGGCAAAGGCACCATGGAGAAAAAAACACAAAGTGAACATGGCAACACCACTTATGCACATCAAACACAAAACAATACCAAGCCCCAGTGCACACACGGGTATGCTAAACTATTTAAAAAATAACAGGGCGGCCTGGGGCCGGTGCTGGGGCATAGTGCAACACCGCGTCCCATATGGGCGCCAGCTCAGGTGCCGGCTGCTCCCTGCCAATGCACCTGGGGAAGCAGTGGAAGATGGCCCGAGTGCTTGGGCCCCTGTACCCACGTGGGAGACCCGGATGGAAATCCTGGCTTCTGGCTTTGATCCGCCCCAGCTCAGCGGTTACGGCCATTTGGGGAGTGAAGCGGGATGGAAGACCTCTCTCTCTCTCTCTCTCTCTGTCTCTCCCTCTCTGACTCAAACAAACAAATAAATAAATAACTTAAAATATATAACTAGAAGCAAGTTTAGGTAGTGTGGGTGTAGCTTTGTAAACTCTCTGGTGTACTTACTTGTATACTTTAGTATTTGCACTACAAGGTGCTTCTGGCAAACAAACACAGAGCTAGAAAAGGAGAAAGCCAGAATGTTCTCCTATTTGGGACCAACTGTGTGGAGCTGGCTGCCACCAGGTCTCTGGTAGGCCTGAGTGGGCCTGGGAGAAGGGGGTGGAGGACATGGCCTCAATCGGATTCATTGTGGGGCGGCGGGGTGCCCGGGGTGGGGCTCCACTGGCCAGTGTCTCCAGGCTGAGCGTGCAGAGCGGCCTGAGACTGGGGTCCCTGCCTGCCAGTGGTGCTGGGTGACAGGCGTGGGCTCAGGAATCTCTCCAAGGAGGATGGAGAACCCGGGGTGTGTGTGTGTGCACGCGCGTACATGTATGTATGCATACA